GCCCCGCCCCCCCCCGCCACTGGCGATGACCTAGAGAGCAGCGACAGCGGACTACCCTGGGCGTCACGCCACCGCACACCCAGGCAGGCCCCCCCCACCCCATGTGTACCCACGCATACACACCCATGCACTTGCACACGGGTATAGCCACCCCCTCAGCACGGCCCCCACCACCTCCAGGCTGGGGTGGGCACTGTCCCTGCCCTGGCTCACAGATATCACCCCTGCCCCACATGCCTCCAGCAGCAGAGACAGGGCCCCCACTACAACTATGAACTGCCCTCCCTCAGCTTCCAGGCTGGAATAGCCTCCTCTCACCCACCCACATGCTGGTGTGGGCACCCCCCCCTTCCTGTCATGCACATAGACACCCCACCCCCAGTTACTATGAGCATGCCCCCCCCTCACCAGGGCTTGGTTTGGGCATAGGTGCCCACCCATCTTGCTCCGCCTGACTTGTGCATGCATATGCTCACACACATACACATGCAGCTCCACCCCTTTTCCCCTGCCCCCTCCCCCTGACCCCCGCAACACATATATATTGGCATAGGCACATCCCCCACCCCCCAGCATAACTGCCACCCCTTTAACAGCCTTACCTCCTGCCCCATTCCCACAAATGGCCTGGCCTAGCCTGGGCATCCCCCCCCCTGCAATAAGCTGGCCTGGTCACAGCCTCCCCTCCCCTCCTTTCTGGGCAGCAGGCCTTTGGCAGGAGGGGTGGGGGTCTGGGAGGTGCCCAGGCTTGTTGGGGTGGGGGGCAGTTGCGGGGTGATATTTACCTCTTGACGCCATAGGCCATGTTTAGCAGGTTGTCAAGCCTGTGAAGCAAGTGTTGGGGGTGGGGTGAGTCAGGGCCAATCCCAACTGGGGTGGGGGTAGCGGGGAGGGGGCCGGGACCTGTGTTGGCTGGGCCAGGGGCACCCCACGCATGCATGCCCACACACACACATGCATGTGCATGTACACACATGTGCATGCATGTGCACACACACACGTGTACATGCATGAGTATACAAGTATACACATATGCATATGGGGCAGACTGGTAGCCAAGGGGGCAGAGTGGAATGAAGGGGGTGTGGCCTGATGTGGGAGGCGGGGGGCAGAGCTGGCAATGAGATGAGTGTGGCCAGTGCCCAGTTGGGGGCAGGGTGGGGGGGCAGGTCTAGCAGCCAGGTCTGATGCCAAGGCAGGGAGCCTGGCCGCAAGGTGGGCGGGTCTAAGGCTAAAGGGATGGGGCTTACTGTGAGATGGGCGTGGCCAATTCCCTGGGGCCAGTCATGAGGTAGGCACAATGCAATGCCAAGTGTCTTGCCACAAGGCAGGCGGGGGCGGGGCTTACCGGAAGCGCTGGGCATGGTGGTGCAGGGGCCCAGGGTAGCGCCGGGCTGAGCCCTGGTAGAGGTGGCTGAGCAGTGCCTGCCCCGTCTTCTGGCTTGGGCTGTTGGCAAACTTGACCGTGATAGGCTCAGCTGCGCCCAGTGGCTTCTGCCCATTCAGCCCCTTGATGGCCTCCTCAGCCTCCACGCGCTTGTCAAAACGGATGAAGCCCACGCCACGCGACACTCCTGCCAGGGAGCATGGTGGTCAGGCCTGTGGAGACCCCAGGCATCGGGGCTGCCCGCCCCTCCTGACAACCCCAGGGCTGGCCCTGATGCCCAGAGAGAACCCAGGCATCCGGGCCCCTAGCACTGACTCCCCGACCTAAGGCTGTCTCTTGCACTGAGGGAGAACCTAGGCATCTGGGTTCCTTGCCCTCCAGCCCTGTACCCTAGAGCTGGTAAGACCCCAGGCATCTGGGCTCCCCGCCTCTCCCACCAACCCGAGTTGGACCCTGCACCGAGAGAGAACCCAGGTGTCTGGGCTTCCAGCACTCTGACCCTGGTGCCTATGGGCTGGTGAGGACCCCATCATCTGAGCCACACTAGGCAGGTGGGGGTACCTGTAACCTGGTCGACCAGAATGCGGGAGGTGATGATGCGGCCGTACTGAGAGAAGAGCTGCTCCATCTCCTTCTGGCCCATGGTGCGCGGCAGACCGCTCACATACAGGTTGGCATCGCGGATAGAGGCTGAGCTGGGCCGTGCATATGACACCTGGGGGTTGGGTGAGCATCAGGGGGGAGGACATCAGGAGGTGGCTGGGCCCCCAACCCACCCCCTTCCAGAGCCCAGACACCCCCCAGCCCCCACTGCCCTCCCAGAGCTGGAGAGAACCAAGGTGTCCACCCCCCAACTCAGTCCCCACCTTGATGGTCTTAGTCTGCAGCTTGAGCCCGTTGAGGGTGCTGATGGCCTTGTCGGCGTCGTTGGGGTCCACGTAGTTGACGAAGCCATAGCCGAGGCTCTGCCCTGCAGGGGGAGGGATTGGGGGAGGCCTTGCATCCCCCTGCTGATGCCCTTCACTCCTGAACTGTAGGCCCAACCCAACCAGTGCCCCTCACTCTGGGCCCACAGCCCCTTGTGTCTCAGGTGCCCCTCACTCCCAACCTGCATCCCCTGCCCACCAAGCCCCATTGGTGCCCTTCACTCCCGACCTGCAGCCCCCTGCCCCATGGTGCCCCTCACTCCTGACCGCAGCCCCACCAGTGATCTTGTCGCGCACGAGCTTGCAGCTCTCGATGTCGCCGATGCTGCCAAAGAGGCTCTTGAACTCCTCCTGCGTCATGTTCTGGGGCAGGTAGTTGACGATGAGGTTGGTCTTGGAGTCATCGGCCCCGTTGGCAGCCAGGGGGGGCCCAGTACCAGTGGCTCCCGTGCCCGCGGGGCCATTGGACGCCTGCGTCTCCATGGTGCTGATTATCTGCTGGAGACAACACAGGGCCGGGCCCATGTGACTGGGAGGGCAGCCATACAGCCCAGGCAGCTGGGCTCTCAGACCCCGCCACTGCTCCAACCCCCCTCCCAGAGAGCCCAGGAATCTGGGCTCCCGGGCTCCCCCCACTCCGCCAATCCAATCCTTTCTTCCCAGAGAACCCAGGCATCTGGGCTTCCACATCCCTGCCCTGCTCCAACCAACTCCCAGCGAGTGCAGGTGTCTGGGGTCCCAGACCGCCCAGTCCAACGCTTCCCAGACCCCACTCTCCCCAGGGAACTCAGGCATCCAGACCCTGTCCCCAGCTCCACTCCCAGAGAATCCAGGTGTCTGGGCTCCCAGACCCCCAGTTCACACCCCCCGCCCGACCCCACTCCCCTGCCAAAGAACCCAGGCATCTGGGTCCAAGCCCCCAACCCTGGTCAAAACCTCCCTCCCAGAGAACCCAAGCATCCAGGTGCCCAGCCTCCTTGCTCTCACCCATCAGAGCCCACTGCGCTCCCAAATGTGGGAGAGACCCCCAGCCCAGGCCAGTCTCCCCTGCCCTGCAGTGGCTTAGCCCAAAACCCACAGATCCATCCAAAACTTGCCAAGAAATAGGCTTAAATTCTTGGTTTCTGCCCAAAAAATAATTTAAACACCTGCATGTGAAGTGTTCAAGGGGGATCTCAGCCCCACCCATGGCCCCTTGCAAGCCCCGCTGTGACTTCCAGGAGCAGGTTTGATCAATATGGCCTCAAATCCCCCCATCTGGGGCCCCTGGAACTAGCTGGTGCTGGAAGCCAAGGGCGGGAGGGCCAGTGGGGGGCTTTATGGAACCAGCTTGGCATTGACCTGGGACCCTCAGGCCAGGGCCTGCATATCTCACAGTGTACTGCACAGGTTTCACCCCACAAGCCCGAGGGCCAGGCAGGGCCCCAGGTGCAAGGCAGCAGCATCTGGAGCCACATCTATACCAGGGATCCCTAGGACCACATCCCCTGCAGCCTGGCACCCCTGGGGTCCTGCAGCTGCCCCCTGCCAGCCCCCACAACACTGCTGGCCCCACACTTCTCCCACCCCCACCTGCCCCCTGGACAAAGCAATTGGCTCCTGCAGAACCATTGATCGAGCTTCATCGATGTCACTGTGAACCTCAATGGTGCCTTGGGGGAGACACTGACAGCAAGACAGACCCCCCTCTACAGTCCTGCTGGTGCCCCTCACTCCCAACCAGCAGCTTCCAGCCCTCCAGCCCTGCCATTACCCCTCACTCCTGACCCACAGCCCCTGGCCCCAACGGCCCTTCCGGTGACCCTCACTTCCAACCCACAGCCCCCTGCATCCTAGATGGATGGACAGATGGAGGAGCAGGCCCAGGCCCACCCCCTCGCGGTGTCGGTGTCGCCTGAGCCCCCTAAGCCGAGCTAAGCTGCTAACAAGCAGATTCCGGCAACGAGCTTAGCACCCCCCCAGAGCACAGATGCCACTGGAGGGGGGGGGGGGGCAAGATCCAGGGCCCCCCCAGCCCTCCCCTCCCCCCCAACCCTTGTAGGCCCCTAGGCAACTCCAATGGGATCTATAGAGGGCCCCAGAATATCAGCAAGGGGAGCAAAGCTTCTATAGGGGGGCTTACACAGGGAGACGCAGGGATGGGCCTCCATTAGCCACCATAGGAGACATTCCCTATAGGTCCTGGTGACCCCAGTGGGGTCCCTGAGAGCTAAGAGCAAGGGACAGCTTGTGTGTTCACTCCTCTGCCAGAAGCAGGGAGAGAACCCAAGCGTTCGATGCCCAGACACCCCCCCCACCCGAGCTAACACCCCAGAGCCCCTCCCCTCCCAGTGCTGGGTGAGAACCCAGGTGTCTGGCTCCCGGCCCCTGTCTCCCATACCCCAACCCCCCCACAATTCCAGAGATGGCACCCAGGTCCGGGCTGTTGGTAGGTCCCTGGGCTAACAATCCCCCATTGTGCGGGGTGTGGGGGGGAGGGGGAAGATGGAGGCCCCTCCCCTGCCTGCAGGGGGGTGGTGCACTGGGTACCACTAGCTCCCCACCTCACACAATGGGCCTTTCAGGCCCAGCCTGGGGCTGCCAGCCACGGAGGGCAGGGTTGGCCAC